TGCTATCAGCAAGAACATTATATCGATTTCATGTTTAGACTCGGATGGTTTCAGATTTGTTATTGAGAACAAATGTCTATCCATTTATAGAGGTTATTTATTTTATGGTAAAGGTTACCATATTAATGACCTTTATGTTTTGGATGATGAACCGTCAAGATACAAGTCAATCTATAACGTTTGTACCAAACGATTTAAGCCGAACGATTTAAACCCGACCTTCATCTGCCATTGTTGTCTAGGCCATATAAACGAGAAACGCATTCAGAAGCTTCATTCTGAAGGTCTTCTGGATTCATTTGACTTTGAGTCTCTTGAATCTTGCGAGTCTTGTTTGATGGGCAAGATGACGAAGCATCCTTTCAAGGGGAAAGGACAGAGAGCGACAGAGTTATTGGACCTGATACATAGTGATGTATGCGGACCAATGATCTGTCCACCTAGAGGAGGTTATCTGTATTTCGTTACGTTCACTGATGATTTCAGTCGATACGGTTATGTCTATTTGATGAGACATAAGTCTGAAACACTTGAAATGTTCAAGGCTTTCAGAAACGAAGTACAAAACCAGCTTGGCAAGACGATCAAGACACTTCGATCCGATCGTGGTGGCGAGTATATGAGCCAAGAGTTCTCTAACTATCTGATTGATTGTGGTATTGTATCACAATTAACTCCTCCTGTAATGCCACAGTGGAATGGCGTGTCTGAACGGAGGAACCGAACACTGTTAGACATGGTTCGGTCGATGATGACTCAGACAGATCTTCCGAAGTCCTTTGGAGGCTATGCTTTAGAGACCGTTGCGTACCTGCTGAATAGGAGTCCAACAAAGGCGGCTGAAACGACGCCATATGAGGTATGGACGGGGAAGTGTTCCACGTTGTCGTTTGTTAGAATTTGGGGTTGCGACGATTACATGAAGCGTCAGATGACTGATAAATTATCCTCCAAATCTGATAAGTGTTTATTTGTAGGCTACCCTAAGGAAACTAAGGGTTACTACTTCTATATTCTGGCAGAGAACAAGGTGTTCATTGCCAGAAATGCGACTTTTATGGAGTGAGAATTTGTCTCCAAAAGAGTCAGTGGGAGTAGGATCGAACTTGAGGAAGTTCGAGAGAAACAAGTAGACGCTGAGCCGAGTGAACAAGTTGAAGACGTTCAACCTGATTCACTACCAGTTGTGACTAAATCTTCGATGAGTGAACCTCGGAAATCAGGTAGGATTCGCCAAGAGCCTGTGAGATACGGATTTCTCGTGACTGGGAATGAGGAGCTCATGTTATTGGAACATGATGAGCCTACCATATATCCAGAGGCTATGGCGAGTCCGGATTTCGAGAAATGGCGCGAGGCTATGAAGTCCGAGATGCCATCCATGTCAGACAACCAAGTATGGACTCTGGTTGATACATCTTAAGGGACAAAACCCATCGGATGCAAGTGAATCTTCAAGAAGAAGACTGACATGGATGGCAACGTGCACACGTATAAGGCACGACTTGTGGCGAAAGTGTACGGATCGGTTGTAGTAGCTAGGGTCGAACACAGGGATAAATAAACAATGGAATCAAATCCCAATCCAAATCTAGATCTAGAGGAGATAATATGAGTGGGAGAGCGTAGCAAAGCAAACAATAAAAACTGTTGTAAACTATGAATGATAAACACTGTAGGCTTTGGGATTGCTTTACATGCAAGGATCTTTCAAAAGATGTAAACTTAGTGGTTTATCTATCCAATCCAAGGAATTCAAGCTCTAAGGTAGAGATCAACTCTTCCAAGTCTAATCTCACTATCCACGTTTAATCCTACTAATCTCCCGATTCAATAGTCTAAAACTCTGGATGCATGAACGAACGCTATCATAATTCCTAGACAAATACCCATCTCCCGATGTGATACCTGTTCTATTTATTGAATTAGTTCTAGGTTAGAATCTCATATGTCTATGTGAATTAAAACCCTAAGTTCATTCAACCAAGTGGCCAACGAGATCAAAAGCATTAAGAACAATTCAATAAACTGAATGGAATAAATAGATCCACAAAGTCTGGAAAGAAAAACAAAAGATCTTTACATAGCAAATCACTAACCTACAGTTATGGGACTACTCGCTAAACATCGAGATATCAGGGTTCATATCAATACAACAAAACATCGTAAAATAGAAGAAAGGAAGAATGCTTAGTCGATTTCCCGCCTTCGTAATCTTCGTCTTCTACTCCGATCTCTTGCCTCTTGATAATCTCCCTCTTGCTGTGTGCTCTAGAGTGTGTTTTTTGTAAAAAGTATGAAGGTTTTTTACCTTGGGGGCCAACCCTACTTAATCCTTCTTTTTCTGAGCCAAAATTCGGAATATTTCCAAAATCGGGTAAGTGACCCGATCGTGTGACTGAAAGTGACACGATCGTGTCACTTAACAGTTTTGGCGGGCTTTACAAATTTGCTCATAACTTCCTGCTCCGATATCGGATTTGGGTGTCTTGGTGTCTATGCGTAGATATTGAAGAGAACTTTCCAATGATGTAGAGAATGCATGATTTGGACTTGTAGAGTGAAAGTTATTGGACTTGAAAGATCTCACATTTTCTGAGCTTCACGTTTTCCCTAGAGACACTCTAAATGTTCTCGGTTCATGATGTTCCATTTTCCATGTTTTCTACTCCTTTTGCTCTCTTTATGTGTGGATTCCTATTTAAACACCAAAGAACACAACCAACCAATATCGAAGCCAAATGGGCCCTAGAATGTCTACAAATATATAAAATCGAGTGAAATACGTTAGACATCTTATATCAAAACATCACCCGAAATACGTGTTATCAAACTCTCCCAGACTTAAACCTTTGCTCGTCCTTGAGCAAATACTCCGTGAAAAATGGTCTGAAAGGAGGGCGAGACAATGACATAACTCAAAATGATAATCGAGAGTGAAACCTCTATCTGACCTAGATCCCCGTGAACAGTGATCTAGTCTTTCTAGTATGATCTCCCTCTCTAAAGGATAATCTTTCCTAGCCATGGGATCTATACCGTTACCTAGAATCAATCCTAGGACTTCAATCATCTACCAAGCATGTTTCTTGAACCTATTACACCATTCTATCTAATCAGATATAGTCTACGCTTTCGACATTCATTCTTTTTCTCTTTCTCTCCTCTCTTTTTTTTTTCTTTTTCATCTAGCTAGATTTTCTCTTCTTTTTTTTTCCTGGCATCTCGGGTTCCTAGGACGTTGAAGTTGAAGCGCTCCTAATCAATTTTTTTTCGATTTTTGTTTATTGGATAACCCGACCCACAACTTAGACCCGAACCATCAAATCGATGCACTCATGTCCTCGAACGATTTTCGTTGACGAGATCATGAAAACGGAGTTTCGAGATGCTCACTATCTTTTTCTGCACATGAAGAAATAAGAATGCATTTGATAACAAACTTTACCGATTTCAGCAAACATGGGAAAGGTTCTTATAGAAACTTTTCTACTTGGCTAGACAACATTGGTCCCATGAGTTCCAACCAACAATTTCTATCCCACAAGCCATTCTAGACAATCCTAAAGGTCAAGCAATCAATTCAACAAAACATAACCACGTTCAACGGATCACAATGTTTTCAGGACGTTTCTACTCTCTCATGTCATAGATCATCACATCAATGCTCAAAAGGATTTTATGCACGTGATCTTATATGTCCTAAACACTATATGAGAATGCACAACCCTAACAACGAACTATATGATCCTAATGCATCCTATATGCACATGCAACTAAAAAGTGAAAATAAAAGGGAAAACTTGTATGCAACACTACTCTATATGGATATGGTTTGGCGTTAGACGAATCCTCCCGCAGACTTGAACTGGACACCCTCCTCGATGTCAATTCTCGTCTAGTAGAGGCAACCAATAAGATGAGTCAAAAGAGAAGCAAATAAAAAAGAGAAAAGAACACTTAGCTCGCGATGTTCGTTCACTCGCACTTAAGTCTGCTTACGTCAATCGCATAGCTAGCTTCCTCGTCTCCTCAGTCATTAGAACTCAACCTGGTGACAAGAGACACAAACCAATATCTGATGCAAAAAGAAAAAGAGAAGGAGAAAAAAACTAACCTACAAACTCGGGTTGCCTCCCGGAAGCGCTTGTTTAAGGTCATTAGCTTGACCGAACCTTCTTAACTATCATACGGGTCTAAGAGACGAAGATTATCGATCTTTCGCCAACCTGGATCATGAAGTATATGAGCATAATGGTCTGATAGGGTAGTCACCTGTTTAACCGAGTGAGAGGGGTCGTGAACGCCCATCTGAGGTGAAAACGAGTCACATGGCTGATTAAGGTCCTGACACGATCGTGTGGAAATGGGAGACCCGATCGGGTGAGTTATCTGTAACTTTGAGCTTCAGATCAGCGCTGGAACACGATCGTGTTGTGCAGTAGACACGATCGGGTCAACTTCATGTCTTTCGTTTCTGGATCAAGGATGAGACCCGATCGTGTGGTGGGGATGACACGATCGGATCAAATGCGTGTATCTTTTGGTTCTGGGTAAGGGATGAGACACGATCGTGTGACGGAGATGACACGATCGGGTCAGACTGCTGAATTGTTTCGGAAGTTGATGTACCGTCAACACGATCATGTTGCAAAAGGGACACGATCGGGTCAGATGGTTGATTCGCGCATACAACATTGCGGCTTCGGACACGATCATGTGACGATCTAGACACGATCATGTCTGTAGATTACGGTTGCTTTAGAATTTTGTCCAGAGTAAATTCTACCGTCTCATCGCCAATCTTCATAGTGAGTCGACCTGCTCGAACATGAATGATAGCATCTACAGTGTTAACGAATGGACGACCAAGAATTATAGGTACCTTAGAGTCTTCGTCCATGTCGAGAACCACGAAGTCAACCGGGATATAGAAGTTCCCAACTTTCAGTGGCACATCCTCAAGTATCCCAGCAGGGTATTTAATGGAACGATCGGCAAGTTGAAGATTCATTCTAGTGGGTTTTAGCTCACCCACATTTAGCTTCTTGAAGATCGATAATGGAAGAAGACTGACGCCGGCTCCTAGATGACAGAGTGCACGATCGATGGAAACATTACCCAATTTACAAGGGATTGAGAAACTACCTGGATCGGACCGCTTAAGCGGAAGCTCGTGTTGGATCAAAGCGCTGCATTCGGCAGTAAGCGCTACGGTTTCTTTCTCAACGACCCTCTTTTTTATCAGGATATCCTTCAAATACGAGGGAATCTGCGAAATAGCATCAGTGAATGGCATGGTTACCTCGAGTTTCTTCAGCATCTCAACAAACTTTGCGAATTGGCTGTCTTCGTTATGCTTCCTCAAGCAAGATGGAAATGGTACTGGTGGTGGCCTAGGAGGAGGACGCACGTAAGCCGGTTCAGGTTCATCATCGGGGATGTCTACAACTGCAGTCTTCGAGCTTTTTCCTCGCTCAACCATCGGTCGGTCTTCAACGTCTACCTGTTTACCACTTCTCAAAGTAATCGCATTGATATATTCACGGGGGTTAGTCTCAGGTTTACCTGGAAGAGATCCGGATGATCTTTGAGAGGCTGATGCTAGCTGAGCGATATGGTTGTCTATGATCTTTAAGTGAGCATCGATGCTTGCGAACTAAGCTCGAAATTCCTGATTTGTCTTTTCCTGATTCTGTATAAACTGTATAAGCAAAGTGTGCATATCAGGGTTGGATTCAGGATTACCTGGAGGTGTGGAATTAATATAGAATTGCCCCGGAGCTCTGTAGTTGGATGTTTGATTAGGACCCTGGATTGAAAAGAAAAACTGGGAGGAATCCTCTGGTTCGAGTTGTCGGATGCTCTGAAGTTGTTCGGCACGGGATTCTCCACATTGTTTGACTTGTAGGAGAGATTGGGATGATTCTTCCACCCTGGATTGTACGTGTTCGAGTAGGCGTTATTGGCCACGTAGTTTACACCTTCGACTCTCTCATCCAACGCGTACATACCAAGCTCCTCTTGTGTTGGCATCAAATGCTTAGTCCTAGAGGGTCGGTTGGAATCTTCGAGCTTAGCATTGAGGACAGCCAATTGTTCAAGAACCATCTGTATGGTCTGATCATTGCATTCCCTTGGCGGATCACTAGAGTACTCGCTCGGGGCGTCTTCTTCTTGGGCCATCATCTCAATATGATCTTCTAGCTCAGTGAATGACTTGTTCTGGATGCTCCCACCACACGAAGCTCGGATCAAAGTCTTGGTATCCATTCTGAGTCCTCGGAAGAAGGTGTTGATCAAGTAGTTCTTGTCAAGCCCGTGATGAGGGCAAGACTTCTGATATCCTTTGTACCTCTTCCAAGCTTTATAAAGGCTTTCCCCATGATCCTGCTTGAATGAATGAATGCCAGAAAGAGCTGCTTCAGTGCGGTGAGCTGGGAAAATTTTTGACATAAACTGCACTTCCAGCTGTTCCCAGGTGTGGATGGAATCGGGTGTCAGATCGTAACACCATTCCAAAGCAGCATCCAAGAGAGTCCAAGGAAAAGCAATCAGTCGGAGTGTATTCTCTGTCACCTTGTTATCTCTCTTGATAGAACGACACATCATCTTAAAGCGAGTTAGATGTGCGTTCGGGTCTTCGTTCGGCCTACCCCGGAAAGCATTATTGCCCAACATCGGAATAGTAGACGGGTTCAGCTCGAAAGTAGATACGTCGATGGCCGGTAGTCGAATACCAGCCAAAAGCTCAGTATGCTTAGGCATGTTGTATTGGGCAAAGGTTGAGTCAGCATTGCCCTCGACACCATCGGGAAGAGCAAAGTATCGGTTGTTCTCCATTTGTCTTCGTTGACGTCGGATGTATCTAACGGTCCTTTCGAGCTCACGATCAAGAGGTACTAGGTCTGATGTCCCAGCACTCCTGGTCATGCACTAGAAAATCCTTTGCACCAAACGAAAAACAACAACAAAGGAAGAAAACGTGAGAAATCACTGAAGAAAGAGAAAAAAACAAAAAGATCCAGAATAGATAGGATCTAATCCTGTTGCCTAAATTGTCCCCGGCAACGGCGCCAAAAACTTGATGTCGTCAATCTAGGTGCAGAAATATGATCAAGTAATAATATTCCTAGACTCAACGATTAACCGCAAGTGTACGGATCAGTTGTAGTAGCTAGGATCGAACACAGGGACAAATAAACAACGGAATCAAATCCCAATCCAAATCTAGATCCAGAGGAGATAATATGAGTGGGAGAACGTAGCAATGCAAACAATAAAAACTGTTGTAAACTATGAATGATAAACACTGCAGGCTTTGGGATTGCTTTACATGCAAGGATCTTTCAAAAGATGTAAACTTAGTGGTGTATCTATCCAATCCAGGGAATTCAAACTCTAAGGTAGAGATCAACTCTTCCAAGTCTAATCTCACTATCCACGTTTAATCCTACTAATCTCCCGATTCAATAGTCTAAAACTCTGGATGCATGAACGAACGCTATCATAATTCCTAGGCAAATACCCATCTCCCGATGTGATACTTGTTCTATTTATTGAATTAGTTCCAGGTTAGAATCTCATACGTCTATGTGAATTAAAACCCTAAGTTCATTCAATCAAGTGGCCAACGAGATCAAAAGCATTAAGAACAATTCAATAAACTGAATGGAATAAATAGATCCACAAAGTCTGGAAATAAAAACCAAAGATCCTTACATAGCGAATCCCTAACCTACAGTTATGGGACTACTCCCTAAACATCGAGATATCAGGGTTCATATCAATACAACAAAACATCGTAAAATAGAAGAAATGAAGAATGCTTAGTCGATTTCCGGGCTTCGTAATCTTCGTCTTCTACTCCGATCTCTTGCCTCTTGATAATCTCCCTCTTGTTGTGTGCTCTAGGGTGTGTTTTTTTGTGAAAAGTATGAATGTTTTCGAACTTGGGGGCTAACCCTACTTAATCCTTCTTTTTCTGGGCCAAAATTCGGAATATTTCCAAAATCGGGTAAGTGACCCAATCGTGTGACTGAAAGTGACACGATCGTGTTACTTAAAGTTTTGGCGGGCTTCACAAATTTGCTCATAACTTCCTGCTCCGACATCGGATTTGGGTGATCTTGGTATCTATGCATAGATATCGAAGAGAGCTTTCCAATGATGTAAAGAATGCATGATTTGGACTTGTAGAGTGAAAGTTATTGGACTTGCAATATCTCTTACGTTTTGTGAGCTTCACGTTTTCCCTAGAGACACTCCAAATGTTCCCGGTTCGTCCGTGATGTTCCGTATTCCATGTTTTCTACTCCTTTTGCTCTCTTTATGTGTGGATTCCTGTTTAAATACCAAAGAACACAACCAACCAATATCGAAGCCAAATGTGCCCTAGAATGTCTACAAATATATAAAATCGAGTGAAATACGCTAGACATCCTATATCAAAACATCACCGAAATACCTGTTATCAACTATGATGAGACCTTTTCGCCTGTAGTTATGCTGAAGTCCATCAAGATCCTGCTTTCCATAGCCGCATATTACGACTATGAGATATGGCAAATGGATGTCAAGATCGCGTTCCTTAACGGGAACTTGACTGAGGATGTGTACATGACACAACCCGAAGGTTTTGTCGATCCGACGAACCCGGAGAAGTTGTGCAAGCTTCAGAGGTCCATTTATGGACTGAAGCAGGCTTCGAGGAGCTGGAACCTTCGCTTTGATGAGACAATCAAAAGGTTTGGTTCCTCACTGAACGAAGACGAGTCGTGCGTTTAAAGAAGGTCAGTGGGAGCACAGTAGTATTTCTAGTGCTGTACGTGGATTACATTCTCCTTATAGGGAATGACGTTCCTACCTTGCAAGACGTTAAGTCTTGGCTAGGAACGCAATTTTCTATGAAGGACCTAGGAGAAGCGGCCTACATTTTGGGCATCAAGATCTATAGAGATAGATCGAGGCGTCTTATAGGATTGTGTCAGAGTACCTACATCGATAAGGTCTTGAAACGGTTCACGATGCAAGCTTCCAAGAAAGGAACCTTACCGATGAGCAGTGGCACAGTTCTCTGCAAGAGTCAGTGTCCTACGACACCTGATGAGCGAGAACGCATGGATCGGATTCCATATGCTTCGACAATTGGATCCATCATGTATGCCATGCTTTGTACTCGACCAGATGTATCTTATGCATTGAGCATTACGAGTAGATACCAGTCAGATCCAGGTGAGTCACACTGGATCGCCGTCAAGAACATCCTGAAGGACTTGAGAAGGACTAAGGATGTGTTCTTGGTATACGATGGGTCGGAAGACGAGCTCGCTGTAAGAGGTTACACCGATGCTAGTTTTCAGTCAGACCTGGATGA